AAGGGACACAAAAGGAGTTATCAGAGCAAACGATCAACTCATCAGTCTCTGACTCACACTGACAAAAGACAAACTCAGGAGTAAATCATGTCTGTCTGTGCACTGAGCCAGCAGAGAATATTAAATGATAAAATCATCTTTGATCAATGATGTTTTTAAGTTCTGTTCCCTGAAATATAGACTTGATGATTATTTAATCCTCTCAGAGGGGACAGCATACGGGACCGGTTCACAATTAAGTGGGTTCAAACTTCAGCTGTGCATATAATTGAAATGAGTTTGTGTATCTCACATGCTCTGAAGCTCTGTTGTGATCTGAGCCAATAAACAAGTCAAATGTAAGTCATTTCTCTTTGTAGTCTCTGAAGTTTGTGGCGTGCTACCGTCTGCATTTCATAACACAAAAAACTGTCTGAGAACACGAATGTGTCAGCTCAGGCCTATTTCTGCATCTCTTATAGAAATCCCTCTTTTGAGTCATTACCTTCATCTTTCCTCTTCTCCAGCTTCACTACATCCACAGCGCTCCAGGCGGCTCCAGCTCCACCAACCCTCCTGTCGTCAGTACTGTTTATGGGTACATAGGGACACCCCCTGCCCAGCGCCAGCTCTCCAGCCTGGTGTGGCGTCTTGGGCCTACCCACTTCCTGGAGGAGTTCCTACCTGCCGCCAGCGTCGCTGCCATTTATGAGCTTGGACCCAACTACGTGGGCAGCTTTCAGGCCGTCTACCTCCCCTGTGAGTGGACCACCAGACCTCGACTTACAGTCTGCAGACCTGCTTTTAACCAGGCTCTAAATCCTTGCTCTACTTTAATGCTTTTCTTTAGTTTTATTCTGTCATTTAACCACCTTGCATCACTTCTTTTCTTCCAGTGTTCATCCATACATGGCTCCTCTTTTCTTTACTCACTTTTTACCGTCTCCATTTTCCCTTCCTGCAGGTAAGGACTCCAAGGCGGAGGTAGCGCCGGCCTCTCCGGTGGTGCTGGTGCCAGAGGAGAAGGTGTCTTTCAGTCTGTATGCGCTCTCTGTGTTGACTCTCACTGTGGCCAAAATCAGGAAAAGCTACAACAAACTGGACAGCAAAGCCATCGCCAAACAGGTCAGACGCACGACTTCGCAAAGAATTAAAAGTCGCTGCTTTAATGTTGTTTTCACCGCCAGGTTTGTGTGCTAAATCAGCGGTCCCCAACCCCCGGTACCGGTCCGTGAGTCGTTTGGTACCGGGCCGCGAAAGTTGAGGCTCAGGTCTGAAATGTATAGTTTTCAGGGTTTTTATCGGTTTTCAGGGTTATTTTGTTATCATTTTTATCGTTAAGTCTGTTTTCTTTGGTCTTTATGAATAAATCTTCTTTTTTTCGGTACCAGTACTAGTTTTATTTTGTTGTATTTATCCGTGACACCTTAAAGGCCGGTCCGTGAAAATATTGTCGGGCATAAACCGGTCCGTGGCACAGAAAAGGTTGGAGACCGCTGCACTAAATGGAAATCTTACTGTCAGATATTCTGTCAAAGTTTCATTGAAGAATCTATTATTTCCGTTACAGTTACCTTTAAAGCGTAACTCTAAATTCAGTTGTCTATTGAAGTGTGCAGCACACTGGCTGAGATGACATCATCCTGGCTGACGTAACCGACTGAAAAAAGAAACCTGTCTTCTCCCTCTGCCACAGTGCCATGTGGTGACGTGTTTACCCTTAGCACAAGTGTAACGTTTGCAGAGAGGAAAGACTTTGAAGTTAATAAAGAATTAAATACAAGCAGAAAAACTCCAGATTGAAGTCCAAAGTGTAAACACACGCATATAAGATTTCAGACTATTTCAGGATTGTTAGATTGGGGCATTTTCCACAGACGTCCTTTCGCAGCAGGGAATCACCTGCTTTGCATGACTTCGATGTACTCCATTACATTGGACACATGCACCCTGTCTAGGAAACTTCTAGGAAAGTATAGGGCTGCTGTGCATATCTGAAAATGGCTATGGATGTGCATTCACACACTTAATGGTCAATTTCATTTTTCAACAGAAAACTCAAGTCCATTGCATTTAAATGATGCATTTAAAGGAAGCAGCACACACAGTCCCACCACGAGTGTGAGCTCCAGATGAGCTCTGTGTTATCTCTTTCTCCACACTTGTCAAGTCATTTCCCAGCCTGCCCGTCTCTCCTGCTCCGTCTCCCGCAGCGACTCACAGGAAGTGAAGTGCAGAGAATTACAGAGGCAGCAATTCTGCAGCAGAGACCTGTCACAGAGCAGGAAGACGCTCACTCACTGTGCAGAGGGGAACGAAAATAAGTTGTTGTCCTCTCATGCAGCATTATCACTTCCCTCTTAGCAAACTAAGCATAAGTGTTTGGGTCTTTCACACCCTCTCGCTTCGCTAAACATGGGTGTCAAATAAAACTCCATAAATACACAATTATTCTAAATGCCAATGTTGCATAATGCTGTTTTTACCTTCCACGAATTAACTGAAAGAATCCAATATTTCATTTCAGCTCACTAATCAAAGCTTTTGATCAGATCTTGGTGTAAGACTGCAGCGTCTAACAGTAAAACATTCTTACTCGTAGACAAACATCCACAGCAACAAACGTTTGACTAACAAATGAGGAAATGGTGCAAAGTTGTGTGAAAGCGGCTCTGAAGAAGTAGAGTTTAAAAGTAACCGTCGAGTTGCCGTCTGCAGACATACTTGAGGTGTGTGTTTTTAATTTCTGTCATTTCTTTTCCATCTCCTTCAGCTCGCCGTGTCCTCTCATGAAAACGCCACTCCGGTAAAACTGATTCACAATGCCGCCGGTCACCTGAATGGTCCCGCACGCACCATCGGAGCTGCTGTGATTGGATATTTAGGTAAACCAAATCTGCGCGACTCAGAATACCAAACGCTGTTCTCTAGTGGATGAAAACTCACTTGTTCTCTTTCTCCCTCCGTCAGGCGTTCGTGCATTCGTGCCCAAACCTGTGGCCACCAACCTGCAGTATGTGGGAGGGGCAGCGGCCATTTTGGGTCTGGTTGCCATGGCGTCAGATGTGGAGGGACTGTATGCGGCTGTCAAGGCTTTAGTGTGTGTTGTAAAAAGCAACCCGCTGGCCAGTAAGGAGATGGAGCGCATCCAAGGTTACCAGGTTAGTTATTAAAGCTTAAATTAAAAGTTTTAGTTACATTTCCAGGATAATTACTGAGTTTTTCTAAAAAATTGCCATCGAAACATTCGTAAATTGGGACGCAAGGCATTCACTTTTCACACATTTAAACACTGTAGTGTTTAGATGAATAGTGCGATTTGCACAGCATTTATTCACACACGTGGTGTGTGAATAAATGCTCTCCGTTGTACTTTAATGGTGTTGCTTCTACTTTTCTAAATTTGTTTACAAAATGCTCATTTGTCCGA